GACCGACTGAAGGTTCCTGTATCTAAAGCCGTCCATTGGGAGTGATGTTTCCAAACTCCCATCGGGATAGTTCAGAGGAAACAAAAGAAAGTGTTTTATGTCCGTCTGTGACCTGGGTGGAAAGTCCTTTCTGCATTTGTATTCATCCAACCAGAAATCTGTCAAAATAAATGTCACACATTACTTCTAACAGAATGTTTGTTGCTCATTTGCAAACATTTTTGTTGTGATTAAGGTTTTTAGCATACCTTCTATTTTATAGTTTAAGTATTTGTTTCCATTTTACGACGACTTCTGTAATTTACTGAACCTTCTGGGCCACCATAGTATAGATGTTATCGATCTATATCTACTTAAATCTATTTGCCAAAATAGTTTTTATTCAATTTATTTATTTTATACTCAACCGGAAAAGGGTGGCTTGCCAACTCTGGGTCGGGAGAGAGGTCCAACCTCAAGTAGAGGAGTTTAAGCATCTCGGGGTCTTGTTCACGAGTGAGGGTAGGAGGGATCGGGAGATCGACAGGCGGATTGGTTCGGCGTCTGCAGCGATGCGGACGCTGAACCAATCCGTCGTGGTGAAGAGGGAGCTGAGCCAGAAAGCCAGGCTCTCGATTTACCGGTCGATCTACGTCCCAATCCTCACCTATGGTCATGAGCTTTGGGTAATGACCGAAAGAACGAGATTGCGGATACAAGCGGCCCAAATGAGTTTCCTCCGTAGGGTGGCCGGGCTCAGCCTTAGAGATAGGGTGAGGAGCTCGGACATTCAGGAGGGACTCGGAGTAGAACCGCTGCTCCTCCGGATCAAAAGGAGTCAGTTGAGGTGGTTTGGGCATCTGGTCAGGATGCCTCCTGAATGCCTCCCTGGGGAGGTGTTTCGGGCATGTCCTGCTGGCAGGAGGCCCCCGGGTCGACCCAGGACACGTTGGAGAGGTTACATCTCCAATCTGGTCCGGGAACGCCTTGGGGTCCTGCCGGCAGGGTGTCCGCGGGGTTTTAAAAAGTATTAAAAAGTGATAAATAAAAATAGTCAAATTTAAGGCCATTAAAAGTGTTAAATTTGGTCTCAGAGGTATTATTTTTTCCAAGTTAGGTATTATTTTTTTCAGACTATCAGATGTCGTATTCTGAACATCGACATAGAAATATATTCCGAATGAAATGTTTTGAACGATTATAAAAATAAAACAAGCCAATTATTTGCTCCTCCCACTTGAGCTGCCCTGAGTTACAAATGAAGCGCTCCGTTGCCAACTTAGCGACTTTGATGCTATTTCCAACAGCTTTTCAGACCCCCTTCTTGGCTTTTTAAATCTTAAAAGTACCTAGCGAACACCTCAGAAACATCTCTGGTAACCCTTAGCTACTTTCTGGATAACTATCGTCGACATTTCCTGCTGCAGGTTAGCTAAACACTCCGCCTGCGCTCCGGACCGTTCTTCAGGACATTAGGAAAGGGAATGATGCAGTGATGTGTCAGTCGCTAAAGAAACAGCTCTCAGAGCCGGCTCCCTGTTGGAGTAACCAGAGTGAGTGACACACACCGTACCTGCGGGCTCCTGAGCCACTAAAAACGGCTAAGTGTGCGCGTGCGGCGCGCTAAACACACATGCAGCTTGCCCCGATTGCTGTGAGACCGGGGTGGGGGGTGGGGGGTGCAGCTGTGGTTGGGACAATTATTACATTAACTGATGGACTTGTAAATAAATAGTTTATAAATAAGGTAGAAATAAGTTCCTCACGCTGATAACTAATAACTAATCTCTCTGAGGACACGGTGCTAGTGCACTCTCCTACAGCACCTTGACATGACTCAATAAATGTTATGCAACATTTTGTGAACATCAATTTATTTGCATTTATTTGTTATAAATGCCACTGTATAATTCTTGCTGTCAGTATTTGCAAGATATTGGTATTTGGGTCTGTACTGGTTAGACTTAAATGAGTAAAACCAAGGTCTATAGCCCTTGGGTCATAGACTATGAGCTATAAGTATATTGGTCTTTTTATACTGGGAATCAGGAGTTCTTTTAGTGATCATCTTGTTTCTTGTTTATTTTTGCCCTGATTGTGCCCTGAGCAGTTTTATGACTGAATAAAAATAAATTTAAAAAATCTACATAAATTGAAAAATCGTCTTAAATAATCGAGATCTCAATTTCAGTCACAATAATCGTGATTATTGTTTTTGCCATAATTGAGCAACCCTACTTTAGCATATCCGGTCACATTATGATGACGTCATATTCAGTGGTCGTTCTGCATCATTTCAGGCCCCGTGGTCAACTGTCTGAACCGCTGAAAAGAAGTGCCTGGCTTATTTTCTAAGTAAAATAAATATGCGCAATACGTTGTCAACATCAGTGAGTCTCTAAGTCTATGCTTTTTGTATGTTATATATGTTAAAATATGTGTAAATAGGTCGCTGATTAACACTTGCAATTTAGTGTTGTGATGGTTTTAAAAAAATTCTGAAGGTAGTAAAAAAAAGTATTAAAAAGTAGTAAATTTTACTTAAGGATTGCTGTATATACCCTGTGCCGGAGGAGCTGGTGGAGGTGGCCGGGGAGAGGACGGTCTGGAGCTCCCTAGTTGGGATGCTGCCCCCGCGACCCGGACCCGGATAAGCGGAGGAAGACGACGACGTTTTTATTTAGATATTAAAACCAGCATTTCACTGCGTTCCAGCTGTATGACAGGAAGTGTGTGGCTTTTCACTAGTTTTAAAGGTTTTATGACTATTTGCTACTTTTTTCCCAGAAAAGGGCCGTCTGGATGAAAGTGAGATGACTTTAAGACGTGTTGGAGAGCAAATGGCAAATACCGTCAATGTAAATTTTAAATAAATGGGGGAGTCATTTAGATACTTTCACTAATTTGCAACAAGATTTGACCTAAAATGATTACCTGACAAGTTGTTAAAGTGTTTGCATGTTTTATTACCAAAAGACGTTGGTTTGTGATTCAGTGCCGCTCTGGCGTTTGGTAAGGATGGGCGGTGCGACGGGTGGAAGGTATTAATAACCTGCCAAGGCTAACGGGTCGTAGTATCCTCTGTAGGGCTTGTCCAATAAAAAAAAACAGCAAAGAGATGAAAATCTGTTCTGGAATCTGATTTTATCTCATTTCTCTGTCGTCTAATATATCAAGTTGTTCCTCAAAGTTGAGAGAAATATTTAAACCTTGCAGCCTTTCTACTGAGAAGTCCTGTTGAGAATAAAGTCTCTTCGTTTTTCTTAGATTTGCTCCAGGAGATGCTTCCTGAACACATTCCTTCATATTAAACAAGCGCAGCCTGTAATAGAAAAGTTTCCTCGGCTCAGCTCTTTGTCTGAGGCTTCCTCGGTGCACCAGGAGGGTGACGGGCTTGCCAGCCCCTGCAAGATTCCCGTCGGCTAAAATGTTGTAAATTAACACAATTAGCGGATCGCCATTCTGCTAATTAGCCACTGGTGTCTGTTGAGAGACGGCGGGAGAAGAGAATCAGAGAGGAAATAGGAGTCTAGGGATTCCCCCCCCCTCCCTGTTTGTGTTGTTACCAAACAAACAGGGCCTTGGATAAGAGCGCAAAAGAGTGTCGACGTGGAGGCTCTCCTCCCTCGTGAATGTGTTTGCAGAAGCATAAATGGATGACAGGAAATTCTGCTCATCCATGGATGGGTTTCATTTTCTCCTTTATCCGCAAAAACACGCACAATTGTGAAGCAGGGATTGCTCAGCAGACCCCCAGCTGTGGGTCTCCCTGCATGCAACTGCCGCCAGTCAATAAGTCGCAGGAAGAAGCCTAAATGACACCGATATTATCCTTTATTTGTGTGCACTAAGTCAAATCAAACAGGGTTCAATCTGCCACGCGGCTGCTGTGATTACGTCCCGTCCAGCCTTTGATAGCATCAAGGCTTTGATGGTGAGACAGCGATGAAGTCGCTGTGCGACTGTCAGTGTTTGCAGATGGCATTGGCTGGGATTAAAGGAAACAGTGACTCTCCAGCCTCCCGAGGCAATAAAGAGGAGCGCCAGGTGAGCGTGTCTGAGATGAGATGGAGCAAGTAAGGAGGGTAGGGGGAGGAGGCGAGGGGAGCACAGGTGGAGTAAATAAGAGGAGGGGAGAGAGAGAGAGAGAGAGAGGGAATGAAAGGAGGAGATATATATCGAAATAGATTGAGTCAGAATAAAAGGAGGGGACGAAGAAATAAAGGCGGGAGGTGGGAAATGGATGACCAAAAGAAAAAAAGGAAAGTGAGGAGAGGAGGCAACAAGAAAGGAGGCAGACAGAGAAGAGGATGGTAGAGAGAGGAGGTCAAGGTGGAGCCGTGCAGACAGGAACTGAGCTCGAGACACAATGTGTTGTAATTCATAGCTCGCCACAGCTGCTGTGTGCGTGCCTGTGTTTGTCCGTCTGGGTCAGTGGATGGGAGTGTGTGTGTGTGTGTGTGTGTGTGTGTGTGTGTGTGTGTGTGTGTGTGTGTGTGTGTGTGTGTGTGTGTGTGTGTGTGTGTGTGTGTGTGTGTGTGTGTGTGTGTGTGTGCTACAGCTCGCTCCAGTGCAGCTTTTTTTTAGAGGTCTGTGTATGAGCACAGGTTTGTGTGTGCTGAATGAAAGCACAATGAGCAGAAGGGAATAGGTGTGTGTGTGTGTGTGTGTGTGTGTGTGTGTGTGTGTGTGTGTGTGTTGCTTTGTGGAACTGTGAGGCACATTTTCAAACCCATCTCCAGCCACCTCAGATGAGCTGGGGATTATAGAGTGACCCTCCATGCCTCTGTCTTATTGGTCTGGCCGTGGTGCATTAGGCTGCTGAAACCAGCCGTCCTACTGTCCGTCTGTACTGCACAATACCTGCTGACGCTCTCAGAGCAAGTACGAGATGAAGACGTTAACACTGTGTAGCAGCATGCCCAGCCCACACGACGCACCAAACGAGCCTCCACATAACCATCACCCTTAACTGTATCACATGATTTAGGCTAACGTCAGCATCTTTCTCATTCTTCTAGGCTTAAAGATGCAGTGGACCCCCGAGCATAGCCAGTGGGCCGAGCAGCACTTCGACATCTCATCCACCACCCGCTCACCTGCCCATAAGGCTGAGGCCTACCGGGCGGTGTCCGGCCACCTGCAGCGTTCTGCCACCTACCAGTACGCCTGGGCGAACGACGACATCTCCGCCCTCACTGCCTCCAACCTACTCAAGAAGTACGCCGAGAAGTACTCCGGTATCCTCGAGATGCCGGCATCGTACTCAGAGGGGCCTGGGGTCCCTGGAGGGATGAATGGACGGAAAGGCGAGTCGGAGCCCTGGCAGGATGGCGTCTACCCGATGAGCTGCATCCCAGAGGGAGTTTCTGTCAGGAAGGGCGGTGTGGCGGCGGCGTCTGAAGTGGTGTCTGGCATCTGTAGCTCCCCGGGCCTGGCCTCCAGTACCCTGAGTGAGCCCAGTTACTCCAGCAGCAGCTGTGGGAGCCACTCAGCCACGGCACTCCACTCCTCTTCCCTTGCCTCTCAGGAATACGGACCCACCTACAGCGGCTCGTACCTGCACAGTAGTTACAGCTCCCAGTCTGCCCTTGCCCCGTCACTTCCCTCCCCACTGCACAGCTCTGGGCTTCTGCAGCCCCCTCCTCCACCTTCCCACCCCACCTTAGTCCCAGCATACAACGGAGGCTCCCCCAACTTGTCTAGTTATAATTACCCCCCAGCAGGCTACCCAGCTCAGAGCTCAGTCGGACCAGGATACAGCCCTGGAGGAGCTCCCCCTCCCTCCTCCTACCTCCCTTCAGGAATTGCTGCTCCCACACCTCTTCCCCCCTCCTCTGCTTTACCTGGATACCCATACCAGAGCCACAACCTGACCCCAATTGCCCCCACCCCCCTTAACAGTAGCTCCTCTAACACATTAAAGAGGAAAGCCTTCTACATGACGGGCCAGGGAGAGATCGACTCATCTTATGGTAACTTTGGTTATGCCCGGAGCTCGGCAGAGAGCCCTATGTACAGGGTCGCTGACAGCAGCAGTGCTAACGGGGGCTCCAACAGCACCGGTGGGAGTGGGTTTGACAGGAGTTCTGAGAAGTCGTCTTTATCTTTTAACCCCCAGAAACAGTCCACGATGGCTTCAGAGCAGCAGAGGAAGTACGGCAGTCAGGCAGCAGGTGGACCTCTGACCCCACCGACCTATGTATCCTCCACCCTGGGGGGCTCTCGCTCAGCAGAATCTCTTGCCAGCTTCACTTCCCCCTCCCTTAGTGAACAAGGTGCTGAAGATCCCCGTCTCCATCTGTCCCACTCGGCACCAGGGCCTACCTCCTCTTCATCCACCTCCTCCTCCCGGCCTGCAGAAGAGCAGCTTAAAACCTGTGACCCCCACCTTCTTGACCTGGTGACCTCAGAAATCATTCAGCAGGGCCCTCCAGTGGATTGGTGTGACATCGCAGGTCTAGAACTGGCCAAGGCTACCCTGAAGGAGGAGATTCTGTGGCCTATTCTTCGTCCAGACATGTTCAGCAATTTGGGACCGTCCCCACGCTGCGTGTTGCTCTTTGGGCCCAGAGGCAGTGGTAGGACGTTGCTGGGCCGCTGCCTAGCCAGTCAACTGGGAGCACAGTTTCTCCAGCTCAGTGGCTCCACCTTAGCCACCAAGTGGCTGGCTGATGGGGACGAAATCATCCGAGCATCATTCCTGGTGGCGCGTTGCCGGCAACCCTCGGTACTCTTCATAAGTGAAGTGGACATGCTCCTGTCAGCTCACCTCAGTGAAGAGAGCCCAGTCAACCGACTGAAGGGGGAACTACTCGCCCAACTGGACTCGCTCCTAATGAGCTCAGGTGAGGACGGAGGCAACCAAGTCTTGGTTGTTAGCTCCACAAGTAGACCACAAGACATGGAGGAAGGCTTGCGCAGATACTTTTCTCGGAGAATACTGGTGCCCCTCCCAGATAGCGCTGCCCGACACCAGATCATGAACCAAGTCCTGGCCCAGTCTCAGCACAAATTCTGCTTAAGCGAGGAGGACCTGGCGTTGCTGGTGCAGCGTACTGAGGGTTTCTCTGGACTGGATCTGGCCAGACTCTGCCAGGAGGCCCTTGTAGGTCTTTTGCATGTCTCAGCACAGGGCATGGACATGACGGGTATGATGCCCCGAGGCCAGATCAGGCCCCTCACCTACCAGGACATCGAGAGTGCCTGCTGTAAATTCCAAGCCAGTATTTCACAGAAAGAGATTGACACTTACGCTGAGTGGAACAAAATGTTTGGCTGCAGCCAGTGAAAAATAGGCACTGCCCTCGAGAAAAAGAGGCTCCCACAATTCCTTCCCTCTGGGCAAAAGCATTGTGCTAGAAGGAAGGCACACAGAAGGCCAACTCGCAAGCCCGCTGTGATCCAACCAACGGGTTTAGATGCACCCAGAAACACGGTTTGATGAGACAACAAGCAGTTCTGCATTTAATGAGCAAGAGTTGAAATCGAAATGCTTGACAAGCCAATCGTCGTTTACATGGGACGCCCCAGTGTCTCTGTATATAATGTTACATTGTTGTTCTTGAGATTTAGTTGGCTATCCAAGTGCCTGAAGTGGTGCTTTCTGATTTCTCTTAATTTGCTTCACAATCTCCATTCATGGCACGAGCTGATGCTTATTAAGAGCTTTAAACCTTCAGCAGTGGGTCTGAAACACAGACTGACAGCTGCATTCAGTGGCGGTTATCCATCCTTTTGTCTTGCTTGCAGCAGTAATCCATCAGGGTGGCAGTAGTCTGGACCCTGTCTCACATTCATCCCCTCAGATCCCGTTTCCGCAAAGCTAAACAAACAAACGAAACAAACAAGCAAACAACACTCAGGAAAGCGTTTGTAAATTGTACAGTACCTCAAGATGTATCGACAAAAAGCACTAAGATTTGAGAGGAGAATCTGTCAGTTAGACGTACCTCAAGTGGCAGAAAAAAATAGCAAAGAGGTGACGATGAATGTACCAGACGTGCTCTCGATCGATGGAGCGTATACTCTGCAGTGAGAGTAAACCATTGTCTTTTTTCTCATCACAGCAGGTGCTTTAGCTACCTGTTTTTACTTGACCAGTCATGAAACTTATATCCATTGCTCTTGAAAATGTAATCCAGTGTTTTTGCCCAGCTTTGGGGGGGGGGGGTTACAGGTGGTAAGGTGTTGTACAAATATTAATACTTTTTAAAACCTGGTTTTGATTACACAATCTAGGCTGTGCAGTCAGCCTGCGTGGGAGCTCCATCGGTTTATCTGTTCATTCGTTAGACTGCGCAACTTTTTGAATACATTGTTAATTAGCTAAAATGTTATTAATAAACATGTACTTATTTGCGTTCTTACAGAGTTTTACATAACGTGCTAAATGCTAAAGCTAATAATGTTTCCAGTTTTTTTAGGGCAAGAGAAATCATCTTATTTGCTCAAATCTACAAAAAAACTAACTCGCATGTAGATTTGTAGAGTTAGCTAATCAGCTAATTGTAGCCACGAAGTTTAATCAAGCCTATTTTGGGGGAGGAAATATTCTGCTGTGACATCATATATGCGACGTCTGATTTGTAATCTTTTTAATTACGAATTTTTACGAGCAAAGAAATCTTAAATCACGTGACAGACATAGTCGAAATGATCATTCATCATTTAAATTGAAGTAGTCCATGTGTGATTGAGGACGTAAGGCAAAGAGGACCAGAAAAATGTTTGTCCCCGTTTGTTTACATTTAATTTTTATGTTCAGGGGACCCATGAGCCGGAGACTTAGGCTCCATATTAACGCCCCTGAAATCTGACTATTTAGCTCAGTTTAACCATCCTTGTCGCAGAAAGGACAAAAACCCGCAACATATCAAAATATAGGGAAAGAACGTTCTAAAGGTGGCAAAAGATAAATCCTAATTGTCGATTTTTGTAAACATTTCTTTTTTTCACCGGAAATTTAATGGCAATAAAATCAGGATAAACCAAGACAAACAGAAAAACAGTATTTGTTTAGCGGGCAGGTGTGAAATGAGCTGCTGCATCATTACTCTGTTACAAGAACACGAGGAAGCACAAAGAACAGGTTGGCTGAGGCTCAGCTGGAAATCACCGGACTCCGGTGTTGTGCGGACAGGCCCTTAGTATCATGGTTGTCACGCGGTCCCGTCAACAGGCACGTCTACTGCGGCGTATTAGGGTCACTTGATAGAAGAAAATAGGAAGAAATGTGTAGATTAAAATATTTCAAAAATAAAGTCAGAATGCATTTCCACGATAAAGAAAAAACGTTGAGAAAAAAGTCTAAAATAAGAATCAATTTGTGATTTCAAAGAAAATCAAAAACTGAACTAAGAAAATTCAAATGAAAACCGATTTAGTCTGTAAAAGACTGGGCTACTAAATATAAAGCTGATAGTTGGGTTCTGTAGCATGATGGGGCGAAGCCGCCTACTGAAGACTTATTCTGGTAATGGTAGTTTTGCCATTTTTCATGAAGTTGAAGCAATATAAAAAAACTCATTTCATTTTTGATAGTTGGGATTTTTTTTTCCCCGCTTGACGCTTCCTCTGTACATTATTTGAGTGACCCTAATAAGCTGCAGCACAATTCCTATAAATATAAGCTAATGATTAGCAGTGTGTTGAAGCTTATAATTGTATTATAATTTTATCAGTATTTTACACAAACTGAAGCATTTGGTGATGTCGGGGGGTGACGGTTTCTGTTACCTATTGTTATACACTGGAAGGATTTTTGACTTTCATTCCATGTTTTAGAAGCTTTGTGCTCTTCTGGAATAATTTATTGCACATGCACTGATGTATTTTTGTGTGCACGATTTTGTTTATGCCGCCGGCAGCACCTTCTTGTTGTGTTGGATGTTCAACCAAACTTTTACTCGAATCCCAAAAATATGAACATGAACGACGGGCGTATTTTCAGACTAACTTCGAGTTCGTGATCACCATCAGTGCAGCACCTGATGTGAACGGGAGGTCTGGAGGAGCGGGTGGGGGAGGGGAGCTGTGCTGAGCATCAGCAAGTCTGATGGAAATCGGAGAGAGAGGCAGGTAGCGTGGCAGCAGCACAAGAGGGGGAGCAAAGTAGTACGTCAGAAAAACCACCCTCAAAACAATCTGTGCCAGAATTCCTTCTGTCAGCAAATCCTCTAGAGAATGAGTCTCATCGGACAGAAATCCCACTAATGCACTTCAGAGCGCAACAACAGCAGTGCAGGCGTTCTCCTTTTTCTTTTCCTCCCTGTTCAACAATCGACTTGAAACACGGCGGTCAATGTTACACTTTGTGATGTGTTTTGCAATCCTCCTTTTGTGTCCTTTTCTTGTCCTACATGGTGTGCGAACCAAAGTTTTTCTTTAAATTTTGTTATTTTAAGCATTTCTACCTCATAGCTACGAAACCTGTGGTCTTTGATTTCTATAATCCTCTCAGCATTTCTCAAAAATATACACAAAAAAGAACCGGAGAGAGTACCACCGTGAAGTTCGTGCAGTCGACCTCAGATGACTGTACCTAAAACATTTAGCTGATGGTGCAACTGCAGGCTGCAGCATAGCCTAGACTGTGTGCGTGTGTGTGTGTGTGTGTGTGTGTGTGTGTGTGTGTGTGTGTGTGCGCGTGTGTGTGTGTGTGTGTGTGTGTGTGTGTGTGCCATTCAAGCTATTTTCAAAACACACATGGACTTAAAAAAGTCACTCGCTAATATTTTGCGAGTAGTTAAAGGGGTCAGCCTAAAAATATGGCCTGGAAATGTATAATCCAATACATTTGCTTTAATCCTTTGTGATCTGTGGTCGTGTGAATGTGTATATACGTGGGCACACTCTTCATTTTTTGTTTTCAATTTAGTGTGTTGACTTTTCTAAAATGTTAGTATATATAACACACTTGCACAAGTTTAAACCAGAGTGTAACGTGTTTCTGTTGTACATATCTATACATACAATACAAATGCACCACTTGTTTATACGTGTGAATATGTTGCCATACTTGCAGTCAACTTTAAATGTATTTTCATGTAATCTGAGGTACAAGAAGCAGCAACAAACGATTCATTAAAGACGTTTTCTTGGGAGATTGTCACTTGTTTTTTTGTTTTGGCGTAACGGGATGCTCCAAGGGATGAACTAGGGGAAGAAAAGATTAATAACCGAATGTATTAATCTGTACAATGGATAAATAAATGTATTGTCCTGCCAAAAATATAGCTTAGCTGATAAATCGCCTTAATGAGCCTTGAGTAAGTCACCCTTGTGTGCAATTATAAAATCATCCGTGTTGCGCAGGAAGCTGTCGCTTCTCTCATTAAAATGTAACAATTCATTTCTCTTGCTGCGCGAAGAGTGGCAAGACCAAAAAAAACATTAAAGCATTAATTATATTTCCTCACACACAAAGAGTTTGGATTATGCAAGCCCTCTTAATGAAAATGATGTGCATTTGCCCACTCCATTTCCAGTGTATCATTATATAGCTGCCGCTGAGGTGTGGGAAGCTGCCGTATAGCCTCTATAATTATCTGTGAAAACTCGGAGCGCTTCACGAGAGGTCAGAGTTCACAGAGTGCTGCTGTTTTCTTTATTTTCTCTACTTTGAAATATGCTATAGCCATCAGAAATCATTCATGACAAGTTTCTAAGTTGAGGCGGATCTGGGCAGAGGCGGATTTAGTATTTCTGTGGGGCCCAGGGCGAAACACAAACATGGCCACCCCTCATTTCATTAGCTCGTTATTTTTACTGGTAATTGCTACTTTGTTATTCATTTGAAATGAACCTTTTTGTATATTGTTAGTCGGTAACAAAGACAAATTGTTTTTTAAATTTCTGATTACCTTGGAAAAATATTAAGTCAAAAGTTCCACATTAAGATCTATATTAGGCATAATTTAGCTCTTAAGTGATGGTGAGCTCAGACCACCGGGTGGTTTTATTCCATATAACGCTGATAACCATCAACTTAGCATTAGTGATGCTAACATAGGTGCCTTAGTTAGCTGCGTACACAAGTAGATCCCTATTCCGTTTTGTGTTTTAGTTGCTCAAGTAAAAATTCATATTTTGGGGGGGTAGTTTTGCTAAAAAGGATGTCGTCCACCCATTCACACACTGATGATGACCTGTAGCCACAGCTGCCCTGGGTCTGCCCTACATTGGTGCCGCAGGTCCATCTGACCACCACCAGCAGGAAATGCAGGCTAAGTGTCTTGCCCAAAGAGACATCAGCAGTATGCTACGGTGGGAGCCAGGATCAAACATGCACCCTGGACTTCCTGAGCCACATGCGGTCCACATATGAAAAAAAAAAAATTCTGGGTATTATAAAATGTCATGTTATGTCATCTTTTTCCAGGTCAATTTTTAGTTAAATTGGGGCAAGACCAAGTTAAGTCTAAGGTCCAAGTCTTATGGTGTGTTCCAGTTGTCCTCGGAACTCATTTTTACAAGATAAGTCAGCCGGAAAGACACAATGAACTCTAAAACCTACGAGCTTGCAGCTCAGAATTCTGAGAACCTTGAGATCCCAAATTTAAAGATTGCTGCACCCGTTGCTACCAGGAAGTAATTATCGTCTTTATCTTTTTGTCATTTATATGTTCTGTTTTCTTTCTTTTTGCTATCAACAGCACCAAGTAGTTGTTTATTGTTATCAATAGTTACATTGTTATTCAACATTGCTGCCAAAATTGAATGGCGTTTATGGTTTTTACTTTTCCTGGTGTTCATATATTTACATTTGAAATGTGTTTTTCTGGCTGAAAATGGCAACTGTCAAATCAAATAGAAATTTTATTTGTCACATACATAGTCATACACAGTGTGAAATGCTTATACGACCGCCAGTGACCTTAAAAAAAGAGAAATACTAAAGACAATAAATTTCACTTGTGAAATAAACTGTACAATAAGGGCATGATAAAAAATATTACAAATATAAAAATATATAAGAAGACAAATGTCGAAGAGCGTGTGTGTCACTATTATTTAAGTGCAGAGAATAGGTCATAATTTTGAACACTGGTGGCGTCCATTTTTTCCGAGTTAATGAGCCTGTTGCGTCATTTCCTGCTCGGAAATTCTGAATTCTGAGGACAACTGGAATGAAGCGTTAAGCCTGATTCATGCTTCTCCGTCTGCGTCAGTGCGGAGACACGCAACGTCCTTGCGGGCCTGCCGGAGAGCTCCGCAAGGGCGGACGGAGTCGAGCTCTCTTTTCTAAACATCTGTCAGTCGAGACGGACAACGCAAGCTTGTGATTGGTCAGGACGCCGCTGTCGTCTACACCGCCGCCATTGCGCCCTTAAAAACATAAAGAGAGCTGAGGATAACTAGCGGCAGACACGGACAAGCTTGAAGAATACCTCGCGAAAAAACTAAAAATATGAACGTTTAATTCCCCGTGACTGGAGGAGTGAAAAGATACGCAGCAAGCATTTTATTTGTGGACGGAAATTACAGGAAACGTGGGTTTAGAGGTGGTGAGCGCATGAAGAGGTGGAGGAGGATGAGAGACAAATTTGTCTGTGTTAAAAAGTCTCTTATATACAAAAACCCCCAATATAAACACACTTTCTTGGACGATACATGACAGGATACCACAGAACAGCGCTACGCCCTCTGCTGTCCTGCCGGGGAATTGCTTTGCAACACTCTCCAGGAGACGGAGAAGTAAAAGAGCAAAACGCTTCAGTCAATCCGTGCGTGTCTGTCCCTTGCGGAGCTGACGGAGAAGCATGAATCAGGCTTTAGTCTTGAAGAGGCATATTCAGTTATCATGTCTTTGGAGGGCAACTGGAGCCAGCCCGCGGAGGAGAGGGATAAAAAACAAGTCATCCAACGATGCAAACTCGGCCACCCCTCACGGAACAGAACCCCTCCTCACACACACCCAGTCAGACATTGTCCAAGCAGCTAGCTCCTCACACACGCACACGAAAATTTATGATGGGCCTCAAAAAAAAGTTTCTGCTTAGGTTCACGAAGTGGCAAGGAATGGGTCTGGGTCCAAGGCAAGTCTCAGTTCCCCTTAACCATGGATGTCATTTTCGCTTTAGAAGTGGGGGGGACACAGGGAGTGTGTGTGTGTGTGTGTGTGGGGGGGGGGGGGGGGGGGGGGAATCTTTACAATATGCTCTAATGGGAAAGGCTTCAACACAAATGGTTGTTTTCCACTTGGTGCTACAGCTCAACCAGTGTCAATTTAATATAGTGTAATATTGTTTTTGGATGGTAAAAAGTGCAGGGGTCAAAACTTGACTTTGGAAAAAGTGGGGGGGACATGTCCCCCCCTGTCCCCCCCCAAAATTACGTCCATGCCCTTAACTCTTCCTTATTCAGAGCAGCAGCTGGAGCTCCGGATCGAGTCTCGAGCTTTAGTCCCAGTTTTAGGGTTGCCCGTCATGACACCGTTGTGTCCTTTTCACATTGAAGGCGCTCCACTCCCGGAGCTTTGCCTCGCACCTCTGCTCGCTGCTTTTGCACAACAATTAAAAAATGCTAAGTGATCATTTTCCTTAAGTAGTCTTAAATGTGCAATCTATTCAAATATGAGAGGAAATTGCCCACAGCTCAGAAAGAAAAAATACAGAGGTGGTAAAACAGGGGGGCAAAGCCAGAATAAATTATGCAAATAACACAAAGGGCTTTAACACTTGAAAGCCTAATTTTCCTATAATCAGCACACTGTCGCCTAATATTTTTTTCTCACCTCTTATTAAAAGTGACTGTTCTTTTCTCGCCGACCATCAGACGGCTTTATCTGTCTAGCAGCTCCGTGAAAATGTCTGCAGCCCGCCAGAGTAAATGCTAAAGCATTTTGCCGGAGCTTTTAGATGATGGTTACATTCCCACACAAGTAATTATGCGAACGGCGAGCCCAGAAAGAAGGTTTAATTATACAGTAATCGTCGGTGATGGACACTAGGAAGTGGCGAGAAGCGCCAGCCTGCAATCCATCAATGCCAAACCTCTGGCCGGTTTTAATTCCTCCTCATTTGCATCCTAACCTCCACACCAAGTTGCGCAAATGCTGTTAAATGTTAATAGGACCTGTCTCGCGGCTCAAAAATGAACGCTAAAGTCATTTTTTTTGTCATTTCCCTGCCTTCTTCTTGCCGTTCTTTCATGCCACCATCTTCACGCCATTCTCTCTCTCTTTTCCCTCACATCTTTCAGCCCACCCCCCCTTCCCTCATTTCCCATCCATTCCCTCGCAGGCCTCACCATGGAGGAGGAGGCACCGAGCGGTCACTGATGCACTAATTGGGAGCAACACTTACAGTTTTATCTCCCCCCGCCACTAATAGCGGTCTGCACTGAAGCAACTCACCTTAGCATGAGGAATGGGTGGATGAGCTGGAGGTAGGAGGTGGTGGAAAGCAGATGGGGGGTAGAGGAGAGGGGGTAGCCGAGGCCTTGAATGAAAAATTCCTCCACGCAGACCACAGCGGAGACTCGGTGTGAGATTGGGCCCTCGAGCCATCATGGTTAATCCATATCCCGCTGGACCTCGGACTCAATTCCCTGCTTCATTAATTGAAAACGATGGCTTTTTATGTGTGTGTGTGCGAATAAAACAAGGAGACGTTTAAAAAAAAACAACATTTTGTCTGGTTTTGTTCCTCAAGTAGCAGCAATCTCATTATGCCTCTGTGCTGCATTTCAAAATCATCTTTGTCTTGATTGTCTGGCGGCGGCGGGAGAGATAAATACACACACGGCGCTTTGCTGTGCTCATGCCAGGACTGTTTTTCAGTGAATCATTTGAAGTCTTATCAGCCTTTATGGAAATAAAGCCTTTGCTTAATAAACTGTTTCACAGGCTTTGGGAGAGTAGCACATAAACACCTTTTTTCTCCCGACAACGCCATCATTAGCGCATCTTGTTCAATGCTTTACGCATAATTGGAATCAACATCTATTGTTCGTGCTCTTGACCTTCCACTTGTTTTCCAGCAGACACTCAGAAACATGGTATTACCGGAGAAAGGAAATCTTAACTAGGACAAAGCATGCTAAGTGCCTTTGCTTTGTTTTATCAGGGGCACACTGCTTCTCTTTGAATATAACTTGAAAA